TGCTATCCCCAACAATATATCCCGGTCTTACAATACAAGCATTCAATCCTCTTTTCTTAGCTTCCATAATCAACTTCTCCGCAACCCATTTACTTTGTCCATATCCACTTTTTAGTCCAAATCTACTGCCTTCTAAATCATCGTCTTCACTAATTCCTTTACCCTCATCTTTTTCAATGATTAAATCACTTAATGAAACATAGTGTTCTGTATCTAACACGGATGTAGAACTTACAAATATAAATGGTTTTGAATGATGCGTACTGGCTAGATTTATGCACCATAATGTTCCTATAACATTTGCAGATCTGAGTTTTTGATACGGATATACCCAATGAACCTATTTTATTTAAATAATGAAACGAATTATGTTTAATAGATCAATGCTAATTAAAGAGATATAAAAAAACTCACCAATGCACCATTATGTACAACGACGTCGACTCTTTCACACAAAGATTTCCAATCCTCCTCTTCAATTCCTAATCTTTCCTTTTCCAAATCACCATATACTACTTCTAATCTTCCTTCGCTTTCCCATTCATCGCACCACACTAAATGCGACTTACAACTCTTTTTAAGTCTTTCCATTCCGAGTTGTTTAGTTTCGGCTCTTACATGTGCAATTATTTTAATCTCTTTATTATTGTTAAGTAAATTTGATAATATAAATGCACCAAGAAATCCCGTTACACCTGTGACAAAAAATACCTTTCTTTGATAATTCTCTGGAATCGGTGTGTATTCCTGTAATAAATATTTAGGCATTAAGATTTCTACATCATTTGCATAATTTAATTCTGACTTTTCCATTCCAATAACCGGTTTGGAAACTAAATTACTATTATTGACTGGTTGAATTTCAACATTTTCAACTATATTAAGTTCGCTTCTTAGAGCAATATCAATTTCATTAGCTTGTTCACGAATTGTAGGTTTTTCATATACTAATCCAAGTGGAATATTTACACCACTTGTTTTTCTTAACTCAAATATTAATCTTGTAGCCAATATTGAATGTCCTCCTAAATCAAAGAAATTTTCATCTAGCGGAATAAATGGGGTTGGTGGGTTTGGAAGTAATTGTGCCCAAATTGTATGAACTGCTCGTTCAGATTGTGACATCTTTTGACTTTTTGCAGTT